CCCACTTAATGGCTCTGATTGGTTGCGGGGGGATTCATTTCCCTTCCAAAAGATCCCAAAGCTCTATGTGAAGGTGGCAGATGTTTCGGCACGGAAGCTGGGAGTCCTCCGGAGCGGGACGGCTGAGCGAGGACCCCCTGCACCCCACCACTGACTGGGAGGGAAGGTGGGTGAAGGGCTGGGACACAAAAAGCCCCGGGGCTGAGATACTTGGAGGTGTGAGGAGGCAGAACAGGAGCTCGGCGTCATCCCCAGGGCCACTCAGGACCCCGTCAGTGGTGAAAATGGACTTATTCTGCCTTGAAAACAAACAAGAGAGAGAGAAAGTGTGATATTTTTTTTTCTCCTTGGGAAGAGAACCCCTCTAATACATCTCCTATGGCTTCCCTCATCCTCGGATAGAGATACCAGACCTTGGTCTTCAGCCGACATTTATTTTTAATACCTCCCAATATGTTTGTCAGTAAACAGCTCTGAACACAAAGCAAAAAGTCTAAACCACATAAATCCCCTTTTCTGGGCATAAATCCACAGCCAGCTCTGCAGGGCTGTCCCTGCTTTGAATGCAGGAGCAAGCTGTCACCTTGCTTGAATTTACATGGGGCAATAAGGTTGGCGTCGGGTTTGCACCCCAGGATTTTCTGGCTGGGAAAAGCCAGCGAGGTCGAGCATCTCACCCAAAGGCTTCGCCCAAAGGTGCTCAGCTGGGAAGCATCCATGAACCGTGCTGCTCGTTAGCAATAAGCTGCTAAGCCGGTCCTGGGGTTTTAAGCACAGACCCCTCACTCCCTTCGTTAGGGCGGTAAGGGAGAAGAAGCAAAATTCAACAAAATTTCCCCGGAGACAAAAAAGATCTCCTCCTGCCCTCACCCAAAGCACCCATAGAGAATCCAGCTTTGATGAAATCAAGGCAGCGGCTTTTTCCTTAAGAGGTTTTCTTCGTGCTCTCTTATATAATACATCACATACGTGCGGGTTTTAATGCAAGGAAAACCTGGTTAGAGAGGAGACCGCCTTTCCTTAGCGGAGGACACCCTGCAGCCGGAGCTGGAGCTGACATCCCACCCCTCCTCCCTCACCGGCAGCCACAAGTCCTTGACAAGGAGCGTGGTTTTCCTCAGGGAGCTTTGTTCACCCAAGTCGTCACCTGGGCTGTCACTCGCTTTTGGACACGGGACGGGCCAGCGCCACCAAAGGCAGGGGGGGAGTCGGGCGGAGGGCTGGCGAGGTGTCGCAGGGAGGCGTGACGGGGGGGTTGCATAGCGACGCACTAACCCTGGCAGCAGGGGCTTTGCTCATTTGCCTCTTTTCCCCCTCCCCGTGTAGAGCAATCTCTGCACAGGCACATCCTATGGCCTCTGTAGGGTCTTGAACCCCGTCCGGCCCGGGTTCATCCCGTCTCCGCCTGGGACCACGTTCCCTTTGCCGCTAAAGAGCAGCTCAGCCCACCAAAACACTGCTCCGCAGCTCCTTGCGGCTGCCGGCGCAGCACCCTGGGCTCGAGAAAGGCTGGAGGGGACCTGGGCTGCTTGGCAGCACCTCCATGGACATGTCCCCATCTCCTTTAGCGCCACGGACATCGGGCTGAGAGCCCAAAGAGGCTCCCCGGTGTCCCAGCGGCGGGGGGGGGGAGGGCGCCCCTTCCTCTCCC